GCTCGAACCGGCAACCTTCCGATTACAAGGCAAACTCCCAACTCTTGAGCCACGATCGCCCATAATAGGGTTGCTATTTAGACTTCCTACGCCTGATGTCCATCCAGGGCCTGAATTTTTTTCAGGGTCCAACATCAACATTTTCTCTCTGTTGTTTAGCCATCTTGCTCTGAACGCCATCGTACAGGCTGTGAAATTCCTGTCACAGAAGCCACAGTATGTTGAGAAGAACACGATGCCAAAAAAGCAAAGATTTGGATGTTTTTTGCTACTGCTATTGCATGGCTCCTTTTGGTTGGAGCTTCCAGGTCATTCCTGACTTCACTGAGCAAACTTGCAATCAGATGGCTTGGTAATCTCTACATTATATCACATCTCTGTCTGGCATTCCAAATAAATTGACCCGAGTGGAGAAATGCCTCTTCAAGCACACACATCTAAATCTCTGCTATGCCTCCCCCGCTTTTTTAAGGGCGGTAAATACCGGTGCAATTAGTAATACATTTTGCAAACGTTAGTGAAGCAATTTGCTAGATTGATTTAAATAGTTTCCTCCCTTTATTTTGCATCTATATATGCATATGCAAGAGGGTCAGTTGCAACTATCTCTCAGTTCCCACCTCTCACATGCAATCATCTCACTACACTCTGTCTGAATCAACTGTACCTTTTCTTCATGTTTCATCTTTAAATGCTAAACATCTAAACACTTAATGTGTAATAGCATTTTCAGTTTTTAAATTTTAATTCTTCCAGCATAAGTAGAGCCAATCTAATGATATCAGGTTTATCAGCTCTTCAGACCCTTTAATTGGGGAAAAAATGTCATGAGTTAATTCAGAAAATGGATGTGGAAGTGTTGTTAGCGTGGCAGCCCGCTGTATGAGACCTCGTCACCTTCCCTATCCTACTTATCTGGTTCATTAAACAGAAAAAGGAACAGAAAATGCACTTTCATGATTGGATTTTAGCTATTTTTTCGTGGAACAACAACCTCCATTCACTGGGGCAGCATTAGATGACTACAGTGTGATCAGTGAAGGAAGTCTACAGACTCTCACATATAATAACAAACTAATATATCTTCCCAATTTCTCCATATTGATCCCACAATACAGGCACCCTGGAGCGTAGACAGACGTGGGAAGAGAGAGAGCGAGGATTTTCGCACTTCTCAACAACGCATCTGCCAAAGGACAACTCTCCTGGCAGGAATAGTTTATAAAGTCCTCATGTTTGGAAAACTGCATCAGCTGGTTTTAAGCAATTACTCATCGTGTGTTTCGCACTCTGCTCCCCCCTGAGCACCATGCATTTTACTCTCTGCTTGTGTTATGTGGACATTTCAAGGACTTTTTGTTTACTACATTTTTTTACCTTTCCATCAATATTGAGAAATGGAGCAGGGGGCCTGAGAGGGAGCCTTAATCTCAGCAAGGCAGATTTAACTAGTCCTTTCTTTGTGCACCCTTACTGAATTCCACATTTGTTCTTGAAATGGGATTTAAAATGTCAAGGAGGGTGTAAGTAATGCTATAAGTAGAATATTTTCATAATCCTTGAGACTGTGAATCAATGAGAGTGTTTACTTCGAAGCGCCCAAAAAAATCCTGGAAATGACTGTTGCATATCCTACACACAAACACGCACACACACGGACACACACCTGCGTTGCTCGAGATGATCTCAGAGGCATTAATCCTTGTATTACACTTTGTTATGAAACCACGAACTTCCATGTTTCGTGAGTTTGCTCCTTGCTGAACTGCAGGTTAAAAGCATTTGAGTAGTTTTGACAGAGTATTCAGAGCGGTGTCTGACACTGGTGCTCTCAGGCTCTCAATTCAAGTCCCTATGATAGAACCAGGGTCTATTAAATCAATGCACTCTACAGCTAAGAGCTCTTTGATGACAGTGGAGCCATTTAAAAATCTTCAGTGAAGGCGCACCCTACAGGAAGAAGTTGCTGACAAATCGAAGTGTATTTTTCTAAATTAAACAAATGAAAATTACAAAAACAAATAACTGCATGGAGACTTTAATTGTGCAATTATTTCATTTCAGTTTCTATTATTCATCTTAAAAAACACACAGTCTACGTTTCTACAAATATTGGAATGAGTGTGCCAGCTGTTCTCCACCGTGCCTTCTCTGTGCACATTAATTTATCTCAACCTTCTTTTAGAATGAGAAGAAAATCCTTTTATGCTCGACTCTCGCTTCCACACTTTTCTTCCTTCTCTCCCTCTGCTCTCCTCTCATCTTCCGAGAGCATCCGCTGGCCTCTCTGTCTGCTTCTATTTCAATATCTCGGAAATCATAAAAATCCTTCAGCCATGTCCCATTTCTCTAAAGCGAATTTAATTCTGAGCAGACAGCCGATGTGCCGTACATCAGGTAATGATGGATGCTGCTGAACATGTGAAGAGAATGTGCTGGCTGAGCAAAACCTCGACTAATTATTTTACCAGCATAAGTAATGGAAATAGGCTTCTCTGTGCGAGCACTGACAACAACTGAGATCCCACGAGTCAGACGAGAGGAATTAATAATGGGCCTAATCTTTCATTTAAAAAAACATCTTTACCTTGGAGCGTTGGAATTTTTGGAAACACTGGAAACAAACAGTAATCAGCCTGCATTCATTGTGTATGCCTGGAGATGAGTCTACAAATAATGAGCATATTCCCCAAAATATTATTTAGTTGGTATTAATATAGGTAATGTAGAGTGTGACTGTCACAGACCGTCTATCAGAGCGAGAAAGAATGCAGACTGATGACAAGTGCGAAGATGGAAATGTGAGCTTGGTAGGTCACAACGAAATGTGTCACGTACTTTGATATGTTGTAACAAAACTGATGCAACTTAGTGGAAAATTAAAAACCCCAAAGCTCAACTGTAAATTAGTCACGTACAGGTTTTTGCAGACTCAGAAGCATATGGATTTATAGTCTCTTTAGGGGGAGATCAAGTTAATACTCTCCAGGGTATAATGTTCACAGCTCTAACTTAATTGTGATTTACAGCATTCTGCACACATTGTCTCATCTTTACTGAATTTATTCAAGACAGGAAGTATGGTGCTGGACTGGGACTTAGATAGCACCTTTCTACTCTGCTGAGCGCTCAAAGCTCTTTCGACTGCAGGTCTCATTCACCCAGTTACACACATTCATACATTGTAGGGCTGCCACAAACTATTATTTTGATAGTTG